GATGTGAATAAAAGGCTGTGACTGTGCCTGCCGGGGACTTGAGGCTGGACAGGAGCCCAGCAGGGCCCCGAGGTCTGGAGGGCCTGGAGCACCTCTGCCGTGAGGAGAGGCTGCGAGAGCTGGGCCTGGCTCCGGGGGAGGCTCTCGCCAGGGGTGCCCAGGGCCAGGAGCAGAGGCCCCGGGCCCAGCCTGGAGCCCAGGAGGTGCCCTCTGGGCCCCAGGCAGCACTGCTGTGCCGGGCGGGTGCCCAGAGAGGGGCTGGGGGCTCCCCCTCTGCTGGCCCCAGGCTGAGGCTGGGGCAGGGCTGCAGCTCTGACAGCAGGAGGGCAGTTTGGTGCCTGCTGCCATGGGGGACCCCTGCAGAGCTGTCCTGCTCTGATCCCCTGCCCGGGGGCTGCTCACACAGCAGCTGCCAGTAAAGCCTGCAGGAGGCAGCCTCGGTGCTGCCTGGGGACGGGGTCCAGCAGCTCAGCCTTGCCCCCAGCTCTCTGTGGCTCCTGGCTGGGTTGGGCCCCGCTGGGAGGAGGACAGAGTTATCTGCAGGCATGGGCAAGAGTGAGACTAATGGCAGGAGGGGAGGAAGAGGCAGATGCAGCCATGGCCACAGCACCCATGCAGGTGAGGGACGGTGCCGCTGCGTGATGCTTTGCTGGTGCTGCATGAATAAAAGCTTCATGTCATCAGCTGGCTGCTTTCGATAGTGCACAACTGCTGTTTTGTACCTATGCAGCTCATGGTAAGGGTGGTGATAAATGTGCCATGGCAGTTTGTGAGTGCCGAGGTCAGAACAGACTGAACTTCTGGTTACAGCCCTGCCCTCCAACCCAGCATCCGCTCGCTCTCGCTGCGTGCTCTCCACCTCGTGCAGGCAAAACTCTCATCGGGAAGATGATCCTGAAAGCAAAAATAGCATCTCTGGAGCACCGGTGCTGTTGTTTCTCTGCATCTTTGTTCTCTTGACCTCAAGGATGTGCAGTGTTTGCTGCTGAGCTATTATGAGCTGTGAGCATCATGTTCTGCCTCCCCTCGCTTACTGTGCTCTTCTTCCATGGAGAAAACACTTAAAGGTTAAATACATACTAGTGGTCACTCAGGGAGTTTCTGTAGCTGAAAAGACAAACATAAAACAAACACCATGCGTTTGGGCAAGCTCTGAGTGAGGATTTCAGCGTTGCTCCCCAGAGCAGTAAAGCCCAGCTTTGGTGTTGGAGCAGGAGACAGAGCTCCTCCTGAGCATCTTTTCAGGTGTGAATGATTCCCCTCCCTATAGAGAAAATGTGTAAAAGAAACATCAAAAGCACCAGCATCAGCCCAGTGGGGTTCTCCTTAGCTGGGGCTGTGCCACAGCAGAGGGACCAAGTCTCACCCAGGGCAGTGTCGTGATTTCTGGGCTCATGGCACACCGTGGAGTGGGAAGGAAAGCGTCACACGCCTGCTGTCCCTGCCTTGTGATCTGCAGGTGCTGCGAGGAAAAAAGACTGTGCAATAAATAGTAATAATTAAAAATCCTTCCAAACAATGGGCTGTGTTAGTGTAGCTGGTGGGAACCAGCTGAGCCCTGCCTGGGAAAGTGAGCAGGTGAGGCTGAGCGAGGGCAGGGAACATGGACTGTGCCGAGCCTGTCTGTCCTCCTCGTCCTCCTTGCTCTCAAGCTGCCAGCCTTGCTCCTAGTCCCCACAGCCCTGCTGCAGGGCAAAGCTGCAGTGAAGGTGGGGGGATGTGAAGGGGGGGGGTTCGGAGCAGTAGATCGGGGCCTTCTGGTAGGTGCTGTGCCTCTGGGCTGTCCACAGTCCAGGGTGCAACCCGGGGGGCTGCAGAGATGCTCCAGTGCATCACAGGCAGCCCCCAGGAGAGGTCTGAACCCTCTGGGGCCCAAGCCACGTGCAGATCTTCACTGGTCAAAGTGCCCAGTGTGTGAGGTTGTGCCATGCCATCGGGGAACAGGACAGAGCAGCCAGGCTGGAAGCCGAGGAGCTGTGGCAGTGCTCGCAGGCTGCTTCCCAAGCCTGACGAGTCAGAGCTCGCTGCAACGTGTTCTGCACACCGGAGGTACCCCAGCGAGCAGTACGAGGGTCCAAGCAGGGCTGCACCAGGATGCATGTGCCTTGGAAACCGATCATGTCCTGGGGGCTGGTGTCCCCAAGTCATGGCAGGCTGTGGAGCCCCCTCACCCCCTCTTCTTGTCCCCCACCTCACTGCATCGCGGCTGGAGCCTCGGCTGCCATGGTCCCACTGCAGCAGGGTCTGTCCCTGAGCGTGGGCCGTGGGTCTCCATGGGCTGCTGCCTCTGCAGCATTTCTTACCTCGCAGAGACCTCTAGAGTCCACTCTCCTGAGCACTCAGCGTTTCTCCAGACTGGTACACACGGTGCTGGCTGCAGAGGCTGCAGCACTCACAGAGCAGCTCTTCAGCCCTGCTCTTGGTCCAGCCCCTTGTGGCCCAGACCCAGGGGGCCCCACAGATGTCCCTGTGCATGATCCATGCAGGGACAGCAGGGGACATGGAGCGTCCCCTGTGTGCTCACCCTCAGGGCACCATCTGCTCCAGGGCCCTGACCCTGTTCCTGGGCCCTTGCCCCATCCCCTGTCCCCACAGTGCTGGATTCTGGGACAGGGAGCATTGTCCCAGGAGCAGCCCCAGAGGATCCCAGAGTGCTTGGAGGCACCCCTGGGTGCCGCTGCTCACCCCCTGCCCCAGCAGGGCCCCGCGGAGCCGCTCGCCCAGCCCCATGTCCCAGTGGCTGCTGGAGCCCCCGCGGAGGAGCCCCCAGCCCCTCTCTGGGCAGCCTGTGCCAGGGCTCCGGCACCCGCCCGGCACAGCAGTGCTGCCTGGGGCCCAGAGGGCACCTCCCGGGCTCCAGGCTGCACCCGGGGCCCCCTGCCCCGGTGCTGGGCACCTTTCCAGTGCCCACAAGGGAGTGGGATGCAGCACGGCTGGGCAGGTGGGGGCTATTCCAGGACTCCCGGCCACTTGCTGTGCTGCAGCTGCTGGCACTGAGCATGGGGAAGCAGCGTCGGTAGAGCAGGTGGCTGGTGAATGGATGTATCTGAGGGCAGGAGAGGCAGAGCTCGCCTGTTCGTGGTGCAGGAGCAGCACGTCCCTCTGACTGTGGCACCCTGGTGCTTGCTCTCCACTGGGAAATGGTGGCTCTGGAATGGCAGCTGTTGTTCCTGGCTGTAGAAGAGACTGATACCCACCCTGGAGGAAACCCAACTTGTGGCATGTTTAGCTTGGCATAATGCAGATTCCTTCCTAAAATGAGGAGTGAGGGGAATCTGAGTGATGCATGTTGAAATGCACAGTGCATATGAAGAGAGACAAAAGCATTTTTTCTAATTCTGGGCATGGCTCCCTTTGAAAATCTCCATGAGTACTGTGTTTGTTGTGACCTGCTACTGCCCTCCCAGGAGCCCAGGGCCTCCCCTCCACCCCAAAGCCATGGGGAGGCATTACCTGGCTGGGGAGGAGAGGTGCCTGGAGGGGGCAAAGGGTCCTGAAAGGATGGGGTGGGTCAATGACCGTGCAGGGATCTGCTCAAGTGTTGTCTTCTCTGGCAATAAAGCCTTTCAGACGAAGTGTGATAAGCAGGATATATTCATTTCCTGCTCTGGAAGATCCCACCAAAGATAAAGGGCTTTTAAGGTGAAACTTGCTTCGTGATGCCAAGGTCTTGGGAAGGAAGCTGGGCACACAGCCCTGCTCTGCTCAGCCCTGGCAAGGCTGGAAGGGCCTTGATTCCCCCAGCATGATGCCAGCTGATGGCCTCTGCAAAGCTCTGTGCCCCAGAGGAGCTGCAGAGGCTCCGATGTCACCTCCATCCCCATGTCTCAGGATGTGCAGGGTCTCAGGCTGCCCAGGCTCCATCCGCAGTGAAGCAGTAAGCAGGGACATTGCCTGGACCCGGGCACGGGAGGGATGAGGGGAAATCCCAGACTGGCACATCCCAGAGAGGCAGCAGCATCACCTGTGCTCTGTGGGAGCATTGTCCCCAGACCGTGCACCTCACCAGCTGCTTGTTGCTCCTTGGTAAGATGAACCGGACACTGAGCTGTTCAGGAGCCTTGGAGCATTCTGCAGAAATGGGGTCTCCTTGGGACATCCTCAGGTGCCACACTCTGAGGTCCTGCTTAGAGCAGGGCAGCAGCTGGGACATGGCAGGAGGTGCTCGGTGCCCCCGTCCCTACACCCAGGGGCCAGCAGCAGCCGGCGGCAGCACAGCCCTGCCTGGTGGGGCTGACCCCTCCCAGCCCTGGTGGTCCTGGAAGCCCCTGCCCAAACTGGGAATTGCTGCAGTGCTCCAGGAGCAGACCCCTCTTCCTGAGCAAACGCCAGCAGCAACTCGGCAGGACTGAGCGTGGCGTTACTGACGGCGTGCACAGCGCACAGAGCTTGCCGGGTGTTCTCCAGGTGGATGAGGTGCGCAGCTCCTGCCCGGTTACCTTTTGTTCTGAGCCTGAGACACCACAGCAGTGAAACGGAGCAAGACACCGCTAAATGATGGATGCTCCACTGCAGGCCAAGAATTCACACTCCTTGGTCTCATCCAAAAAAATACAATTACTCTGAATCATTTTGCTTTGGTTCTAGGTGGAAAGAAATAATCAATTCATAGAGTCCTATGAGTTCAGGCCCATTTTTCTGCAGCATTGATGGATCTTGGACATGTTGGTTGCAGGCAATATCTGACTTTAAAATAATCTTTTATTATTATTATTATTTTGCATCCTTTGAACAGAACTGTTGTTCCAGCTCCTTCTTTGCAACCATCACGTACTTAAAAATGACTTTGCAGTAACGGTGTATTATAAATGATGCAGTCCTGGTGTTTCTGGGTTTCCAGTTGGTGCCAGTTCAGTCCAGCAGTTCAAGCTGGGCAGAAAGCTCTGCATCCTTTGCTGTTTTGCAATGCAATCAAGCCAGCTTGGTGCTTGCGGCCACTCTCAGGCTTTGTAGATCATTGACCAAGGGCTGGAGCCTGAGGGAGGAACCCCTCCCACAGAGGCACGGGGCATGGGAAGCAGAGCTCAGAGCCTATTTTGGGAGGTTTCACCAGCACAACAAGACGGTGGCTGCTCCATGGGGGACACAACATGACCTGGGCACCAGCGCCCTGGCTGCAGGCACGCAGCCAGCTCTGCTGTCAGCCTGCAACACAGCCTGTGCCTGGGCAGGGAGAGCATGGAAACACTCACAATGCAAATGACGGAGAAGCAGGAAATGTTTTGACTCACCTCAAGAGCGTTACCTGTGGTTAATCTTTAATGCACTTGCAGTTTAAATGCCCACAAGCTGCCAGGCTGATGCTCCTGCTGTGGCTCAGGATGGGGAAGGTCCCTGCTGCCCCGTACCTGTTGGGGCTGAGCTCCCCAGTTGTGCTGGGGCTGCTGGGGTGAGTCGCTTTGTGCTCACATCGGCACCTGGGGCACCGCATCCCTGTTTGGCAAGAACCAGAGGCAGTGAATTGGCAGGTGAGAGAAATCTGTTTCTATACCACTGAAAGGGGAGGCGTAAGGGCTTGCTGAACTGCTTTGACCATATGCATTCGGGCACCAGCAGGTGCCCAGGAATGTTCCCAGGCTCATTTAATTTACTATTCTAGATCTATCCTACCTTTATCTGTCTCTGTTGAGTTATTACTGTGTTCAGTTCTGGGGACCCCTGCACTAGAAGGACATGGATGTATTAGAACGAGTCCAGAGGAGGCCACAAAGATGATCAAGGGGCTGGAGCACTTCTCCTACAAGGATAGGCTGAGGGAGTTGGGGTTGTTCTGCCTGGAGAAGAGAAGGCTCCAGGGAGACCTTTTAACAACTTTCTAATACCTAAAGGGAGCTACTGGAGAGCTGGGATGGGACTTTTTGTCAGGGAAGCATAGTGATAAGACGAGGGGGGTTAGTTTAAACTAAACTAAAAAAGGGTAGGTTTAGATTAGACTTAAGGAATTAGCTCTTTGCCAGTGAGAGTGGTGAGGCACTGGAGCAGGTTGCCCAGAGAAGCAAGCTGTGGATGCCTCATCCCTGGAAGTGCTCAAGGCCAGGTTGGATGAGGATTTGAGCAACCTGATCTAGTGGGAAGTGTCCCTGTCCATGGCAGGGGGTTGGAATTAGATGATCTTTAAGATCCCTTCCAATCCAAACCATTATATGATTCTATGATTCTACATGACTTTAGTAATGGAAGAAGTAGTTGTCTAAATATTCATGACGTGCTAGGAGGTCTCTACTGACTGATGTTTTCATTGGACTTCTGGCTCAGAGGACAACTTCCCTTCTTCATGAAAAATGCCTGAGAAACACCAGCATGTCATGCACTCAGATACCCACAGTTGGAATAAAAACAAAACCCTCTGTAAGTGTGTCTGAAGATGGAAGGTTTAGCTTTGGTCCAAATCAAATCAGTTTTCATAGAATCACAGCATGGTTTGGGTTGGAAGGGACCTTAACAATCATCTAGTTCCAACCTGCCTGCCATGAGGATGCTGTCCTTTAGATCAGGTTGCCCAGAGCCTCATCTGCAGTTTTTGGCTCTGTAATTCCTGTGGGATGAGCAGAAGGTACCCTTGTTAAAAACAAAGCACTTTGCATCATTTGCAAATAGACAAACATGCTTCTATGTTGGAAATTCAGGAAGAAACAAGTCCAGCAGAAGTTTGAGAGGTGATAGCTGTACATCAGTCACACCCAAGACACGTAACCATGTTGGAGCGAGCACAGTTTTTATTCCAGTTTTAACATTTTCTACAAGGAGTTCTCAGAAATGAACTACCCACTGATCTGAACAGATCAAGACACTGTTATTTTGTCTGCCTGAAGGAACACACACTACAACGAATCTGAGCATAGCCCACAGGCTGTGACTGGGCAAATAACAGCAACTTTACAAGTCTTCTTGTAATAGTGCATAAAGCAGAGATAGATAGGACCTGGCCTGTTGCACAGTGCAAGAGGAGGGACAGAGATGTTTTTCTTGCAGACACAGTTCATGAGGTTGATGGGGAAGAACGAATAGATCCCTCCATACAGCAAAATGCACCAAGCGAGGCCCTGGCCTCATGAACAGCTCAGTTGCAATTAGGACATTGCATGCACTGTTTTTAACATGCCTGGAGGTGGGCATGGGCTGGCTTGCCAGGCATTTATCCTGTTGTCTTTCTTGTAGATAGCAGAATCATACTGACAGTGGGCACAGCAGCACCATGTATGAGCTCAACGAAAGCAGCTTTGATCCCATCACCTTCGTCCTGACAGGCATCCCAGGCATGGAGGAGTCCCACATCTGGATCTCTGTCCCCTTCTGTCTGATGTACATCACTGCAGTGTTCAGCAACTCCGTCCTCCTCTTCGTCATCATCACGGAGAGGAGCCTCCACGAGCCCATGTACCTATTCCTCGCGATGCTGGCTGTTTCTGACCTCATGCTTTCGACCACGACAGTGCCCAAGATGCTGGCAATCTTCTGGTTCAGTGCCAGAGAAATTTCATTCGATGCCTGCATTACCCAGATGTTCTTCACCCACTTCAGCTTCATTGTGGAGTCGTCTGTCCTGCTGGCCATGGCATTCGACCGCTACGTTGCTGTGTGCGACCCGCTGCGGTACTCGTCCACGTTAACGCCCTCAGTGATTGGGAAGATAGCGGTGACTGCCGTGGTCCGGGGCTTCTGCATCATGTTCCCACCCATCTTCCTGCTGAAGCGGCTGCCCTACTGCGGGCACAACATCATGCCCCACACCTACTGCGAGCACATGGGCATCGCCCGCCTGGCCTGCGCCGATATAAGAGCCAACGTCTGGTACGGGCTGACGACGGCGCTTCTGTCCTCCGGCCTGGATGTCGTGCTCATCGCTGTCTCGTACGTGCTCATCCTCAGGGCTATTTTCCGTCTACCCTCCCCAGAGGCCCGTCTCAAAACCCTGAGCACCTGCGGCTCCCACCTCTGCGTGATCCTCATGTTCTACATGCCCGCCTTCTTCTCCTTCCTCACGCACCGCTTCGGCCACCACATCCCGGGGCACGTCCACATCCTCCTGGCCAACCTCTACGTGGTGGTCCCACCGATGCTCAACCCCATCGTGTACGGGGTGAGGACGCGGCCGATCCGGGAGCGCGTGGTCCGCCTCCTCTGCCCCGCCGGGCAGTGCCCCTGCCCCTGCCCCAGCCGGGGGGGCCTCTGCTGAGCATGGCAGAGGGAAGGGGGGCGCAGGATGGGGCCTGGGCTGCAGGGCCAGGAGCGGCTGCTCTTCTCACCCTGGAGGAACAGACTTGCCTAAGAGGTTCTGGAGAAGCGGAGGGTGATGGGGTTTCTGGAAACACGAGCTTGGCTCATCAGGCTGTCCATTGCTATTGGTTTCTCCTAAAGAAGCTGTCCCTGAGTGCTTCATCTGGCAGAGACTGGGGCAAACAGGTCAGGCGAGGAGCATCAAGACTCGTGCTTGCTCATTTACCGTTGCCTTGTTTTGTTTGCTGTCCTACAGCCTCATTTCTGTTTGCTCCTTCACTTGTTAGTGCCTACACCGTGAGCACCTCGCTGCTCATCAGAGCGGAGCCTGGGAAGCCACCCAGCACAGGGTGGTCACAGCGCTGCTTGCCGTGGCGGATAACGATCTGCCCTCCTGTCCTCACAGGCACAGCTTGGGACTCCACAGAGGGACTCCAGGACCTCCCACTGCTGAACGTGTTTACACGCTGAGAGCCCTGAGAGGTCTGGATGGGCTCTATTGTGTTTAAAGGAAACATCCATTAAACCATAACGTCCAAAACTGGATTCAAGGCTCTAGTATGGACTGCAGAGAGACAGTGGTTTCCCACACCCCACACATCCCATAGGAGCATTTCTCTCTTTACAAAAACATTGCACTGTGCAGAGCCCGGAGTGAGGTACAGCACACTTCGAGATCCTTTCCTGCCCGTCCTGCAGTCTGAGGACCCACCACGTTGTTGCTGTATGTTCAATTTATCCTTGAACACCAAAAGAGCTTTGCTGAACTTTTTGTTGTTCCTCTCATTGGTGTGTGTACCAGTTGTGTCAATAATGCCTTGCTACCCAAGGTCTACCTAAGGCTGTCAGTAATACCTTGTTTTACCTGAAGCCAGTGGCGATCTGCCTTGATGCAAAGACACAGAGTGAGCACCGGATCTTGCTGGAGGAGCAGCAGGGCAGTTCTGTACACCTGTCTACAATCAGAGTGTAATCTCAGTTATCAGTCTGATCAGCAAGGAGAGCCCTTTTCCTTACCTCTTCCTTCCTCAGCAAAGACAATGCAGGCTTTCAGGGCAAACTCATCCGCTGCTTCCCCTGCGGTGAATCTCATGTGGCAGCATCAGAGGAGAAGCTCTCGTCCCTGGTGCAGTGAGCATGGGCACTGCTGAAGGTCCCATGGGCAGAAGGGAGAGGAGGCAGCACGGCAGACCCTGGGGGGAAGCTTGCTGGAAATTCAGGTCTCCTGCTGAAAGGTCAGCGTGCTCTGCACCGCTTTCAGGGTGGGCTTTTGTCGTGTCGTGATGAAGTGCAGGACCATGGTGACTCCGACAGCAGCAGCCACAGTCCAGCCAGGATGGGACAGCCTCTGTGTCAGCCTCATGGCAGGGCCCTGGTGGCCATGCTGGCTCAGCCGTTAAATGCCAAAACTGCCGTAACGCATTAGCATCGCTGGGGTGAGGAGGAGGAGGAGGAGGAGGGGATGTACCAGAGCTTGGAGACCTTTCCTTCATGCTTTCCTTTGTGTTTTACCGGGTGGGAAGTTGAGATAAACACTTGGTTCTCCTTTCCACATTGCACCTATTTTCTACTCCATGTCTCGTACACATCACTCAGAGGCAGTGGAGTCTGGACGCTTTTTAGTGCTGCTGTTGAGCTCAGGGGCTTCCTGAGTCTGGCCAGGGACAGCCTTCCCCAGCTGGGAAGCTGCCAAAGTCTTTTAAATGCAGTAATTGGGTAATTCGGTAATGTCTGAAGGCTCACGCTCTGCAGTCCGGCTCCCACAGCAGTGCCAGGATCCAGCATGCTCTGGCCCTGTGTCAGCTGTAGGACCTGAAGAAGTGTCTGGTGTACTCGTGTCAGAGGACCAGACCATCCCACGTTCCTGCAGAACATCCTTTTATCCCTGACCAAAAGGGCAGTGGGCGCATCCCAAGCCCACAGCCTGACCATGCTGCAAAGCCACTCCAGACCTGGGGAAGCTGCCCCAGAGGTGGCCGCATGCCTGGACGCTGGAGGCATCTCTCTTGGAGAGCTCACCTTGTCTATGTGCCCCACAAAATCTTGTGCCCCACACAAGGGGCCAGGAGCCAGTGGCTGGGGCTGGCCTGGCACAAGCCAGCACCCAGGGCTGAGAGCAGGAGCAAGGAAGCTCTGCAGAACCCGGCTGGCTCATGGCTGAAGGACGTAGATGGCAGGGCTGCAGCCACCCAAACCCTGCTCTGCTCTGGGCATCCCAGTAGCACTACTGGAGCTCCAAAAGAGAGGGAAAGAATCACACTTTCAGAATTTAAAACAAAAAAAAAGTGTTTTACTCTGTCAGCATTATTTTTTTTTGGGTATTCTTTGATTTCATCAAGTTGGGGAACCCTGTGACAGGCAAAATTGATTTAATCAAACTGGGGAACCCTGTGACAAGCACAATGGAAATGAAAGCGTTCACTAAGAGCTGTTTGCTCTCAGTGATGATAATGGAGCTGGTTAAACAGCTGCTTGTATTGCTGGGCTTTTTAATGTCCTCAAAATACATCTGTGTCTCTCTCAGCAAAAAGAAAGAATATTTGCACAGAGCAGCCCACACGATTTCTAATAGGAGACAGAGCTGTCTCAAAGACAATGTGTCAGGAGTGCAAACTGGCATAGGCAGAACATGAATACATTTGGGCTTAAATGAGATGCTTTAGGGTCTTTGGGGCAATCGCAGGGGTTACAGCAGACTGGAGGCTGTGGTGAGGTGCTGGAAAGCTCATGACAGCAAGAGACGTGTTTGCTGAATCAAGGGTTTCCTCCAGCTCTGCTTTCCTACCTGGAAACAAGAACTGGTTGACAAAGCAACCCTCTGCTGCAGTTTTATCCTGAAACTTTTCTAAGCAGCTCGAGTAGCAGTTGATCTGCCACCCAAATTTGTCAATATTAAAAGACAATTCTGTACCTTGGTGTCTTGGTTATGTGGTTCAACTCATGTGGATATTTCTGCTGCCTTCTTCACTGCTTCCCTTTTCTTGCCTTCCATCATTGAGGAACTTAAGCACACGCTAAGCACAACAAATGTACATGCTAAGCACAACAAGCGTGCATGCTCAGAGCATACCTGGCAGTGGTGCTGTGAAGGGCCCCTTTATAAATGCCCAGGAGGAGCCTCATGCCATCACCAACAGCCTGGAGTTGGGGAGGAGGTGGCACTGCCTTGGGCAGGTGCTGCACAGATGAGACGCAAAGCAATAGACCTGCTTCAAAGAGCTTCCAAACCAAGTACGAGTAACAGAAAATGCATAGGGATCCACAGCAATGGGTGACTGCTGGCCCACATGCTGTGTCTCGGCACCCCAGTGACCAGAACATCACCGATCTCAGGACCCGCTGACACTTGGACCGCTCCAGCGCGTGGTCCTGCAGTGCTCAGGGGAACCTCTCAGGGGCAGGCATTCCTGCAGGTACCCGCATTTTCACCTGGATTTAGTAGTCAGCTAGGTAGAGGTGGGCTTTGTGTGTACCAGGCGAGTTCACTCCTTGTACCCTTCTGCTTCTCTGGCTTTCCAGGAACAGCTTAACTGCGAGTGAGGACCCAGTTTGGAGCTCCCAGCCCTGGCACTGCTCTGCGCCCTGGATGGATGTGGTGGCTGGGTCAGGGAGCAGCCTGCATGGGAAAATGTCCCTGAGTCAATGAATCACCAGCTCAGCAATTAATGTCCAAAGGGCATGCATAATGGGATATTAGCCCGTTGATCAGGAAGATTTATATTCCTAACATGGTTAAAATGTTAGCTTAATAACTCACAGGAACTGTGAAGCCAGAACTTCTGCACTTTGAATTTAATTTCTCTCGACAGACCTATTTTTGTTGTTGTTTTGGTTTGTTTTGGTATTTAGCTCAGTTGATGTGGGCTGTTTGTAGGCATGTTGGGACTGCAAGGACCCTTTCCTGAGGAGGAGGAAGGGATTTTGGCTGAATTTGTTTGTAGCTGTAGCACACCTACAATGTAAATGGAATCTCAGAAACTTCGGGACGTAAGGGGAGGTGAATGGGGTCACTAGTCCCAGTCCGCAGTGAGTGTGTGGGCAGGCTCACCACGCTTCCATGCTCGGGGGAATCAAGCACAGCCCGAAGTGGGACCAGGCTTCAGGTCTGTGCTGAGTCAAGCCCTAAGCATACGTTTTTATGGCTGAATACTCTTCAGCTGCATTTGAGTGCTTCACCGAACTGAGGCCGAGATAAGCACGGCATTCAGCACGAACAAAGCCTGAAGTGTTCTCTGTTCAAGTACCGCATTTCCGTTCCTTTTGCTGCCTCCTACAATGGTGCTTTATTAATTGTCCTTCATCTGCAGACCGCTGTGGGTAATAAATTATGGTGGCAAAGCTTAACGGTTTTACTGCACCTCTCCTCCATCATCATAATGTCTTAGCAAATGTTAATTAATAAAAATCCCCAGTACACTTCATAACTGGCAGGCAATACATGGCACATCCTTGTAAGCTGTCCTGCCTTCACCAGCTTGCTCTGATGTATGGGAAGTCCCTGCTGGTCCCCAGGGGTCCTGGGCAGCGTGAGGCGGCTGTTCCTCTGACCCCAGTGCCCAGTCTGCTCAGGGTCTCTCTGCAGGTTTCTGGAGCAGAAACATCAGTCCAGTAAGCCCATTGCTCTCCTTGGAAGTGCGGAAACATTGGAAATGAGGACAAAATCAGCTAAAAAAGTTTGCAGCAGCAATGTTTGCAGATCTCCACCTCTGAGTTCCCGAATTCTCCATCGTGTCCCACAAAAAGCTGGAACAGGACCTGCTCACCAAGCACTTTCGGTCCAGGTGTGGCGATGACTTCCAAACTCACACCTGATGGACAGGACCTGGTTTGCCCCTGCTGGCACCTCCGTGGTCAGTGAGGTCTCAGCCTGTCCTCGGTGCCAGGGAGGGTGATGGAACCGGTCATCTTGGGTGGAATCACACAGCATGCACAAAGAGGAGAAGAGGAGGCTCAGGGCAGAACTTATTGCTCTCTGCAACTGCCTGAAAGGAAGGGGTGGGGAGCTGGGGGGCGGCCTCTGCTCACAGGGAACCAGGGCCAGGAGCAGAGGGAACGGCCTCGAGTTGTGCCAGGGGAGGCTCAGGTTGGAAATGAGGAGACATTTCTGCTCAGCAAGAGCAGTCAGGCCTTGGGACGGGTTGCCCAGGGAGCTGGGGGAGTCCCCGTCCCTGGGGGTGTTCAAGGAGAGGTTGGACGTGGTGCCTGGGGACACGGTGTGGTGGGTGACATGGGTGGTTGGGGGGACAGTTGGACCAACCATAATGATTCTATGTTTCTGTGATCCTATGGCCCTGGGAAGCTTTCAGGAGCCAGGAGCAGGCAGTGATTTTGCACAAGCTGCCATGGTTGGGGGTGGAGGGGTGGGGGGAGGGCAGTGATGCTTCAGCTGATTCACCAAGGCTGCTCTGGGGATAATCCAGAGGTCTGCAAGGCTTGTGCAGTCCCCACCCAATTAGCACTACTTGGGGACAACGAGTTGGTGACAACCCCAGTGCTTTTGGGATGGAGCTAGGAGCACAACTTCCATTGCTGGACGCAGTATAACCACTGCAGGACTGCGTGGGGTCTGACTGGTGACCACCTAACACCTGAAGAGCACTGGCTTGGAGCTACTGCAGAAGTTCACCTGTAAATTTTCCATAGCACCACGTACTCCTCGTGGTGCTGTAAAATCCTTTCAGACCCTGGGCACTTCGATAATGCCCTGCTGCTGGTGGCTTTTAATTGCATCTTTGTTTATTGGATGAGGATTTCTCCAGATACCTGGCTGAGCAGGCACTGCAGTCTGGGGCTCTCCCATAAAGCAGAGAATTTGGGATGGAAAGGGCTCTCCACTGCCTTTCATGTGCCTTGTGTGCAGAGGATGCATTACAGACAGCTTTTGTACGGGCAGCCAAGGACAGGACTGATCCAGGTTCCTTGTGCCCTGATTTCATCTGTAGGTTCCAAGCTGCTCTGACTCCCTGAAGCTGGGTGCTCTTCAACCAGGATCCCTGAGCAGGATGGACACTGCACATGCCTTGTTTGTGGCAGTCATAGGAGAGTAGGGAATTCTCCTAAAAATATTTCCAACCCTGAAGATTTTTCAGTTACAACATAAATTATGGTCATATCCAAAAATGTCTCCCAGAGAGGCATCCCTGTGACTGATGACTCAGGAACAGATCTTCTGCTTCTTTTGCTCTAGTTCCCAGCAGCTGCAGGCAGTTGGAGGCAGAAGACTCCTGACTTCAAAGGCTCAAAGAGCAGAAATGAGGCTGCCAAGCTCCAGTGAGGGGACTTGGACAACGGAGGGAAACCCTGGTGGACCAAACTGCCCAGCATTTAGCACTTCTAGACAAAATACGGTTCAGAAAGTAAGTGTCTGAGCCCTGAGCAGTGATAATCACGAGCTCTGCTCCTGTTTGTATCCTGGGCACTGCTTAGCTGCTCTCAGAGCCTTTACTCCTATAATTACACAGCGATGACAGGCAGTGAAGCATTGCACTGAGTCATGCTGGTGACGAACCTGTCAGGGTCCCACCCTGCATGCTTCATCTGGGGATACCCGGGATGGAGAAGTCTCACACCTGGATCTCCATCCTGGTCTGCTGCCCTCCTGGGAACACCGTCCTGCTCGTCACCATGGTGAAGGAGCAGGGCCGCCACCAGCCCATGTGCATGTTCCTGTGCATGCAGCGTGCGACCTGCTGCTGTCCCCTGCCACTGCACCCAAAACCCTCGGTGTCCTCTGGTCTCTCTCCACCTGTATCTCCTTCAACAGCTGCCTGGCACAGATGTTCTCCATCTATTTTGTTTTTGTGACAGAGTTGGCCATCTTGCCGGTGATGGCCTTTGATCGCTACATCACCATCTGTGACCCGCCGCAGTACTTGGCCATCCTGACACGCTCTGTGGTGGTGAAGGTCGGTGTGGTGGCCTTGGCCAGGAGCTTCTGCATCATGTCCCCTGCCATCTTCCTCCTCAAGCGGCTGCCCTGCTGCAGGCACAGCATCACGCCGTACACCTACTGTGAGCACATTGGTGTGGCCTGCCTGGCCTGCTCCAACATCTCTGTCAACGTCTGGTACGAGGTGGTCGCCAGCTTCCTCTCGGCCAGCTTGGGCGCCGTCTCCATCGCCGTGTCCTACGCGGTCCCTCAGGTCCCTCTGGGGGCTGCCTGCCCCAGGTGCCTCCCCCAAGGCCCTGCACACCTGCGGCTCCCACCTCTGTGTCATCACCATGTTTTACATGCCGGCCTTCTTCTTCTTCCTAGCGCACCGCTTCGGCCACCAGGTCCCCCGACATGTCCTCATCCTGCTGGCCAACCTCTACGTGGTGGTGCTGCCCATACTCAATCCCATTGTGTATGGGGTGAGGACGTGGTCGATCCAGGAGCGCGTGGCTCACCTCCTCAGCCTGGGGGTCTCGTGCAGGGGGGTGCAGCTGTTCACTGGCACCGCCAGCAACACCTCCACAACTCCTCACAGGTGCACTTTGCAAGGCAGGCTCTGCCTGTCACTATTTTCATTTTCAGCTGCATTCATCCTGTCCATGGCCTTTGGAAGCTGGGGTCAGGTCCAGGCAACATGTGGGCAGGCACTCCAGAGGGGCTGGTGGAGGAGCCACCAGGCTGCAAGGCTTCCTCGGCTGATGCCAGGCTCAGAAAAACAGAAGAAAAGCAACTCCTTCTGCCATGTTCCAGTACTAAAAAGGAGAAATGTGATGATCGGAGGAATTTGACACTGCTCAGTTTGACATCAGCTCCAAATAAAGTAATGGAAAAGTGAATATGAGACTTGATCAATACAGTGCGAAAAGGCAAGAATGCAATCAGTGGCAATCAGTACTTATTTCTGGTGCTCAGTTTCCATAGAATCATCTCATTTCATTTTCTGATGACTTCCGTATTTGGGTGATAAAGTTACCTGAGGGCTAAATAACACTGTATTTTTTTCCCCACAACATTCAGATAAATAACTCATTATAACAAACAGATAGTCAAAGAAACAAATGATATGCCTACTTATAAATAAAGAAGTTGTTAATGGAGTTTGGCTAACTGCAAGGTCTTGATGCAGTGATAGTTCCTCACTGAGAGCTTGTTTTCCATATATTTCTGGGGAGATTCAGCAGGGATTGGACACCAGGTCTGATACTAGGTATGATTTTATCAGTTGTGTAGAAACAAGCATAAAATCATTGCTAATGAGGTTTTTAGATGATGCAAAGTCCAACACAGCCATACTGTTGACAAAGGAGAGGCTGTTACACAGCCAAGTCAATCGAGGTGGATGCAAAGTCATGCTCGGGAGGAGCCAGGGGCAGAGCAGGGGCTGCAGCCCCTTCCCCTCTGGGGAAACGCAGGGGGGCTGAGGGAAAGAGAGCTTTGGTGGGGGCTCTTTGGGTGACGCTTGGCCGACAGGCTGAGTCCCAAGGTGCTCCCACAGCCGTGTAGGGGTGATGGTGGTGATGAAGGTCCCTGTTCCTCTCAGCCTGTTCTCATGTCCTTCCGCCAGTGCCCAGCAGCTCATTTCTGAAACCTGTTGGGAGGCTGGGAAGGGCCGTGCATGCGTGCTGCAGCCCCCTCCTCGTGGTGGGGAGGGAACAGGGAGGCTGGGGCTGCGGGGGCGTCCTGGAGGGACCCACTCCTTCCCAGCACACCCAGCACTGCCCAGTCCCCGTGCAACAGCTGCAGAGGGGCTCTGCGATAAAGATGGGGACAAAATGAGGCGGGGACCACTGGGAGAAAACAGCACTTTGAGCAGCTTTGTTCTGCAGCAGTAACATCTGAGAGTTGGTTCAGTGCAAGGAGTATGAAAGCAGGGCATCTCACAGGGCTGTGTTGAGAAAGACAAGGTGGGGTGACCCCAGTGGAGTTACAGGCTGTGAGAAATAAACCTTCGGCCCTAGGAACTGCTGGGTGTCACAGCCAACTCCTCTGAGCCCGCTGAGCAGACCCTACGTGTGCCCACCTGTACCAGCTGTGTAGGTGCTCAGTGCCCGCGAGCCTGGGGGGAGGCATTTCATCCCAAAACCCACAGGAGCCAAACTGCTGCCTGACCAATGCAGGAGAGCAGCCTCAGCGATGATCAGAGGCTGATCAGACACTGATGGGGTGCAGAGCAGGGCAAGGGCTGGACCCAGAGCTCTGCTCCGATGGCTGGGGCGCTGCAGGGATGCTGCCTGCACAGCACAAGCTTAGGGAACAAAGCACTTCTGATTAGTGACCTGTTTACATGAATTTCCCCCCACATCCCCATTGCTGGGCTTGGTGGAGGACAAGCAGGTGAATTCTAGCCTGGCTCACCTGCCTGTGGCTCACACGAACCCGCAGATTGCTTCAGCCTTGAATTGGCTGCCCGGGGAGGAGCAGGTGAAGGTGGGCTGCGCACTCAGCGAGGGGCTGGAGTGGTTCGTGGTGCGAGTGGTGCTGTGCTCCTGCCTGCTGCTCTGGGGTCACGACTTGAAAGACAGCAGAGATGTCTGGAGGGCAGGGGGGCAAAACAGACATGTTGTGTGAGTGCTGGAGAAAATACTTGATCTGTAATGGGAGCAAAACATTAATTCCTGAAGAGATGTAGAGGACATCTTCATTGCAGAATGGCAGCCCCAGGAGAAAACATCTGATGCTGAGGATCGCTGTAATGCCCTTGAGAAGGATGAATTTGGAGGAGTGGAAAATGAAGCCAGACATATTCTGATTAAAAGTAAGAGCATTATTTTGAATAGTGAGAATTATTAACTGCTGTGAGAAGCTCCTGAGAACAACAGTAGTCTTTCCAACAGTGACTATCCCGATCCAGATAATATGCCCATGTGGAGAATGGAAGTTATTTGGTACAAAGCTGCGCTCCCCTGAGCCCCACCAGCCCAAACCAGCAGCAGCACCGTGGGCCCTGACGGAGGTGCCTGCAGCAGCACCGCTCACCCACTGGGGCCAGGCTGCTGCTCGAGCACTGCCCTGGGCAGGAGCAGAGACGGCCCTGGCAGGAGGTTTCTGGAGCGTGTCCCACCAGGTCACGGTGTCCCCCCATGGCTACTCATCCCCACAAGGAGGGTGATGGCCTTGCTGCTGGGGGGGTCCCAGCAGGCAGCACCATCTGTGCTCTCCACTGAGAATGCACAGCAGCAACAAATCACACAGAGGATGACTTTTTTCTTTTTTTTTTTTTTTTTTTTTTTTTTTTTTTTCCCAGCAAACCTAGAACTCAGAAGGACTGGCAACAGTCTCTAACACAAAGACCTCTCAGGCTTGGTCACAGATAAGCAAGGTCTGCAGCTCCCTGTGGTAGAAGCAGCAGTCAGTTCCATAGTTCGTGCTGTTTGTGGGCCCTGGGGGGCACCAGAAGCTCTGCACAAGCTGCAAGCACCAATTCTGGGTCAAGAAAATACCCTCCCTTTCCCCCTCCCCCTAGTATGAACAATGTCTGAGGAGGAGCAACAGCTTCTAACATGCTGTAAAACCACAGGCAGTTCCTGGGACAGCCTCCAAGCCCAGCAAGCTGCAGAAATCAAATTCCAGGAAGAACCAAAGCTGCTTAGGTTAATGGCCCTCCTTGATGGGGAGGGAAGTGGAAGAGTGGCTGGGAAAGTCCTTCCTTCTAAGTTCCATCCCAGATTTACCTATCTCCTGATTTATTAGCGGAGAGGCACTACATAGGCACATTATTGGCATTTAGGATAAATCTGGGATGTGGGTAGGGAAGAATATCCCAGCTGTGAGACTGCCCGGCTGCTCCTGGGGGTGCAGCAGGGGTGAGCTGTGGGAGCCTTTCAGCACGGAGCTGCTCTGTGTGGTGGCAAACAGGAGGAAAAGGGTGCCAGTGGAGTGATAGAGCTGGTGCCAGCACAGTCTGGTCAAACAAGTAACTGCAGAGGAGCTCTTTGTTACTGCAAGCAAGTGAGCTGGGGCTCTGGGCGTGCTCTTCACCTGGCACTCTGTCCAGAAGCAGAAACCACACCGCATCCTTCAGGGAGTTACCAGGTGACATGGTCAGTGTCCTTCGGGTGTGAAACAAGCTCTACAAATGGATGACTTTCAAATTTTTTATTTTTTGGTCAAAAGAATACTTTTGTAATTTATAAAATTGATGTCAACATCAAATAACCTAAAGGCTATGAAAAAAAGACTGAACAAGTGAAGCTGTAGTTCTGATATGCACCTGGAGTTTTATATTGGCACCATGAAGTTTAGTCACTGAAGTTTGCTGATGAAGAAACTGAGCAGCAGCCTGGGAACAGTGAGAAGTTTTTCCAAGCACCACATAAGCAGGAAATAAAGAATGGGACGAAAGGAGAAATGTACCTCCTTTTGGCTTTGTTTTGAAGCAAGCATTGGCTTTCACAGCTGAGTGAGGTGCACTTGGTGGTGGTGGCGTTTCCTGGCTGAAGAGGGGAGGATGCCCCGGGCTCGGGCTGAGGAAGGGGGACGTGCCCTGCTCAGACAGCTGTACTCAGAGGGGTGGCTGGCATGGAGGTGGCACTGCCAGGAGTCTGTGGGGGGACAGTGCTGGCATGGGTGTGCATGCAGGGCTGGCAGCAAAGCCTCGAGGGGACCCAAAGGCTGGCAGGCACCAGCGTGTCCCTGGAGCAAAGCTGGTGGGAGGGGTGCTCAGCAGTGCTGGCAGCATCACAGCAGGGCTGGTGGGGCCAGCCTGCACCTGGCCGGTGCACTGAAGTGGTGGAAGTGGTCTTGGAGTCCCCTCAGCCCAGATTTTCCTGTGTTGCAGTCTCCCTGTGTCCCTGAGACCCGGTTGTATGTGCATGGCAGAGCCGAGGGTGCCCAAGCTCGTCTCCAGGGGAGGTGCCCCCTGCCCGTGCCCTGCTGGTCTCTCTGACACCAGCGTGATGTCACAACACGGGGCTGGCAGTGTGGCCGGGCTGCGTGGCCGAGGGGACGGGACAAGGAAGATGGGGCGACCCCTGGGGCACTGAGCACGGGGAGCAGCTGTGCAACATCTGGCTGGTATGTGCACTCTGGGCGCACGGTGGGGAGAGGTGGTCCTTGTCCCCGTGTCACTGCTCCCCCCTGGCAGCTGTCACCACAGCAGGCACCACTGCCACCCCTTGTTTCAGCTGGCAGCCATTGCCCCCCGTTGCTTCCCACCTTCTGCCAGTGCCTCTGCTTTCTGACAGACTGAAGCACAGCCCCAATCTCAAAGCCACCATGTCTGAAAGCAAAGGGGATAGTCAGCCTCTTGTCACCACGGACTCCTCAGATATCATCAAAGTGACTGTAAAAACCCTCAAACAGAAGGAGCAGTTTGAGGTTGCTCAGAGCAGCACCATCCAGGAGTTTAAGGAAGACATTGGCCAGCGTTTTAAAACTCCCCCTGATCTCCTGGTGCTGATATTTGCTGGAAAAGTCCTCAAAGATCAAGATACTCTGAGCCAGTATGGAGTCCACAATGGGGTCAGCATCCACCTTGTCATCAGGTCCCAAAAGAGACCACAGGAGGGCCTGCCAGATCAAGGAGCTGCAACCACCCTGATGCAGCCTCCCAGCCGCAGTAATTCCAATTTGTTCTTCTTGGAAAGCATAGCTGATCTGCAAAACCCAGGCCTGAGCTATCAGGATTTGTCTGAGCTGTTGATGTCTGGCCAGGAAATAGTGGTGCAGACCATGAAAGAACTCATGGCTAGGATCCTCAGTTCAGGGCTGGATATGAACACCATCAACAACAACACGTTTTTGCAGGGGTTCCTCCTTGGGGTGACAGGTGTAAATATCCTAGGCCTGGACTCAATAGATGTGTCGGACTTGGTGAGCAGCATTGAAGGACAAGATGTGTTTGTGCACGGCTTGATAAGCGAGGTGGCGCAGAGCACCTTTGTGCAGAACACCCTTGCCAATGCCAGCCTTGTCAGGGACATCATCATGTCCAACCCTCAGGTGCAGCAGCTGGCTGAGCAAAATCCCGAGATTGGTCACATTCTCACCAACCCACACACGATAAGGGAAATATTAGAGGCCCACAGCAGCCCTGCTGTAATGCAAGAGATGGTAAGGAACCACGATCTGGCCATGAACAACCTCGAAAGCATCCCTGGTGGGTACAGTGCTCTGGAGCAGCTCTACAGGGAAGTTGAGGAGCCCATCCTGGATGCTGTGCAGGCACAGATAGGCAACAACTTGTTTGCTCCACCAGACAGTAACCTGTCCCTGAACGGGGCCCAGCTACCAGCCCGGACTGAAAACCGGAGGCCATTGCCCAACCCATGGGCTCCGCGGTCCGACAGAGCCAGTGTATGTGACTGCGATGGACAACTGGCAAACGGCACAGACGAGAGTCTTATTGTGCTGAGTTTGGGTCCTGCAGCAGGTGTGGTGGTCTCCAACTCAGGGAGGGCCGAGAGCATGGTGCAGCAGCTAACAGGAAACGCAGAACTCATGCAAAACCTGGAGGATGCGTTAACAAACCCCAGCGGTCCAGCACAAATGCTGCTGAATAGCGATCATACATCAAGAGATGAAAACTCTCTACCTCAAGATCAAAGTGCACAGCAGCTACCGCCAGAGATGGAGAACGCTGAGATTTCGTCCTTGCTGAGAAACCCCAGGGCGCTGCAGGCATTGCTGCAGGTCCAGCTGGGATTACAGATCCTCATCACAGAGGCACCGGATTTCGTATTGGGTTTGGGGGACTCACATGTGGAGCTGGATCTGGAAAGCATGGACGAGTCGACACAAAGCAATGAGTCTGAGGATGATCTAAGTTTGGTGTCAGAACAGGGTGAAGAAGAAGACCAGATAGAGATGGACGAGCAAGCACCACAGATCAGATATGAGAGACAAATGCAGCAGCTCCATGCCATGGGCTTCCAGGACCAACGTGCAAACTTGCAGGCTCTGATTGATGCAGAAGGTGAGATCAATGCAGCAGCTGAGATACTGGCAAAAGCACCATCATCAAACAAGACACCGTAACTGCTTCGTCCAAATGATGAACCTTGTTTGTTGATGATTGTGTTTCAGTCTCATCGTACACTAAAGGTAGCAGGGTGCATAATAAGAAGCTGTGTGCTGTAGCATTCTTCAGTCTATGAGAATTAATTCCCTCTTAGCTGCAAGGATGTCCTGCATTCAGAAATGAGGAGTTCTGTGCTGTGACACAGTGAAGGCCCTGCCTGAATGTGGTGCTACCCATTTGCAGATAGAGTCCAGACGTATATGCAAGTGAAAAACATACCAGAAAAAGACACCAGGGAGGGAAAATATAGATTTTTTACAGGCTAGGAACTGAGCTCTGGGGATCATAGTATTGTAGAATCATTCAGGTTGGAAAAGACCTCTAAGACCATCAAGTGTTAACCTAGCACTGCCAGGTCAACCACTAAACCATGTCCCTAAGCACCACATCTACGTGTCTTTTGAAGACCTCCAGGGATGGTGACTCAAACACTTCCCTGGGCAGCCTCTTCCACAACCCATGCAGTGAATATTTTTTTCCTAAAGGTCCCCTGGTGCAACTAGAGGCCATTTCCTCTTATCCTATTGCTTGCTGCTTGGGAGAAGAGACTGATCCACACTCCACTACAACCTCCTTTGAGGTAGTTGTAGAGAGTGATAAGGTCTCCCCTGAGCCTCCTTTTCTCTAGATGAAATAACCCCGCTTCCCTCAGCCATTCCTCGTAAGACTTGTTCTCTATACCTTTCACCAGCTTTGTTGCACTAATGCTGAAGACCAGATCATACATAAGCATGGCTCTCATATGGACTCCAAAAGAAATGGTGGCACTTTGAAAGCTGTTTGTTTGTTTGTTCTTTTGTAAAGGCCCTAAAGGAGAGAGGCAGGGAGTATCTGAGCCACCCAGCCTCATTCCTGCCACTGTAGGCATCAGCTTTTCCTCTGCCAAGTAAACTGTTTTGAAAGTCAATCTGTCATTTCTGCCACTGCTTCTCCTCTGGGAGTGAAGTCCAAGGGGTATGGTGAGGGTTATGGCAACTATCCATGATGGTTATAACCTAGCTTTTCATCCTGAATATGTTGACAGCTGGTTTCTACCCACCTATCATTGCAGTTTTTAGTTTCATGCACTAGATAAGAGTTTCTCTGATTAACAAATCCCAAACGCTTTGTGCTTTCCCCAGCATCACCCACGGCACCAGGGATTAAGATATCTTCTGCAAACCATTCCTTGGGATCAGGGCTGTCTCTTTGTAAGTCTTGTCCCTTTTGCTTTGCTGTGTGTGAGCCTGAGGCATAATGCTTGTTAAAGCCTTGTCTTTATAACACAAACCATGATAACTGATTGGGAGGTTTGAGGTTTGATGCTGCAGACCTGCCTATAATGACTCAGAACTGTAGTATTAGGAGATGGAGCTGCTGGGGCTGTGCTCTTCTGGAGCTTCTGCCCTTCTCCCAGCCCTGCCCTGGATGAGCAGGGTCAGGATCAGCCCAGACCCTGCCCTTCAGCACCTCTGCCCAGTTCTGCTCCAGTCCCATCCCTTCCCTACCCTCCTGCTCCTACCCTTCCCTTCTTTGCCCTTGCATCCAAGCACTGAGTCTTCTTCCTCTGGCTCCAGGTTTCCCACTCATTTCCTTTGCAAATGTTTCTCTCCCAGCACCCTTCCTTTACAAATTGTCCCATGAGGAGTTTTCTACCCATTTCTTTTTCGTCCTCCTCCCCCTCCATGGACTCTGCAGCCAGTAACAAACTTAGACTTTGTGTTTTATCCCTGCTTGCTATTTTGCATCTTGTTTCTCCTTTCTCCTCTCTTCACCTTTCCAGACATGGTTGGAGGATCGGTCTGGGGAGACAGGCTGGGTGCTTGATCGGCTGTGGCTGGAAAATGTCCTCCCTGTGGCAGACCCCATGCTGATGGGGCCGGTGCCAGCAGCTGTGCCTCGTCTGACCTGCCCTGATAAAGCCAATCCCTGCAGCAGCAGCTGCCTCTGGTGGTGGCTGGCAGGCTGTGTGTCTGCTGGTGGGCTTCAGCTCTTCCCTCCCTCAAGAAGCCAGTCTCAGCTTCGGCCACAGGGGTGTGATGGATGCCAGGGGTTGGTGGCCACTGGCTTGCTGGGGTCCCTGTGCAGCAGCTGTGGCCTGAGGTGTGCTGCCTAATGAGGCCAAGAATCTGCAAATTTCCTTGGTGGTAAATGCTGCCGCTGCTGCTTTGGGACGGTGCTGCTGGGAAATGTCTCTGCTTTGGGCCATGCTCATGGAGTCAGGTGGAACATCTGCTAAGGTCTCGTGAAGCTGAACACACACACACAGAGCTTGTGTGGCCTGTCCTGGGCTGTTCATCCATGGCTGATGATGGAGTGAGGTAGGTGCAGGTGGGGGAACCTGAAATGTGAAGTCTGATGTGAAAGTGTGCGTCCAGCCTCCTCCTGCAGCCTGTAGAGATGTTGGCACAGCTCCGTGTTCAACTGGAGGAGCCCAACACCACCTGAGATGCCCTTGGGCATCTGAGACCAGCACATGGGGCTGGTAGCTGTGACATGGGAATCACAAGACACCTGTGTCCCTCTGGATGAGTGACTGGAGATGAGGCAGGGCAGAACAGAGCATCTCAGAAGGTGAATTAAGGATGGATAAACACTTATACACAACAGGCTGTTGGAACAAGCATTCCATTAAAATGCTCATGTTTCAAATTCAAGCATTTTTAGGGTTTCAGTTACAATAAAGTGCTGATTTACAATTTCAAACACATTTTTTCTTTGTTTTCTTATCACTACTTTGGTAAACCTGGAAGGAACGCATGGCACATGAAGATGTCACCAAATGCAATGGTTTGTTTGTTTGTTTTTCCTCAACAAAAATGTCCCCCTGGTATTGCTCAGCTTCTGAGTGGGATGTCTGGTGTGAGCTGGGAGGTGCTGGAGGAGTGTGATCCCTTGCAGTCTGCGTGGCATGGAGCATAGGAACCATCTGTGCTTGCAGGGCAGCAAGGACTCCACCATTGCTTCTGCATCTCTCCTTGTTCTCAGAGGCAGCCAGGCTGATAAACATCAGCTCTCTGCCTTGTTAGCAAGCTGGTCCTCATCCCGAGACCCGGGCTTCTGTAAAGGAGCCTGGGCACCAGAAGATACGGGCGGTAGGGTTTGTGACACGAGGTGGCACCAGCACTGAAGGGGCTCCTGCAGCCCACTCCCAGATCTGCTCCTGTCCCCCCTGCAGTGACCATGCTCTGGTTGCCAGCCCCTCTGGAGCCAAAATGTAACTCCAGGTGTGGGTGTGCTGCTGGGTCTGTGACATTCACAGCTGCCCCTGCCTGTTGGCTTCTTTGTACTGAAATGATTCATCCTGCAGAAAACAGTTCCTACAGACTAATGCACTGCTCACCCTGTGCGTGGCGAAGTTCCTGAGGGTCTGCCCTGACCTAGGAGGTGGGGCAGAGTCCAGTCACTCGTGCAAGCAACGCTCCCCAGCTTGTCCTCCTGCATCCCAGAGAGGAGTGCAGCCCACGACTGTCTCATTGCTTTATGGAACTTCTCCAAATTCCTTTATTGACATAACCAACGAGGGCATTATGTATCGTGCCCAATATTCTATTCAAAAAGCAGGATGCTATTTATAAATATATGTTAAACTATTTGCAGAAGCAACTGCCCCCACTTTGTATGTCTGGCTGCTTTGGGGAAGTTACAGCACTCTTTAGAACTCATCGTGCCTGCTTTTGCACAGACTGCGCCTTGCTGCTGCCTGCAGGGACATTGTGAGTCCAGCCAGGGCCCTGGGGACAGGCTGTGCAAATGGCACAGGTATAATTGTGCAGGTGCCGGTCTGGGCGCTGGGGACCTGTGTGCACTGAGCCATGTGCTTGTAATGCGCGTGGTACATGAGGGACCTGGGGAAGATCCCTGTGCTGCTGGTGGCTGCAGCGCACCTTTGGCGTGACGCAGTGGGTGCAGTGCCTCCACCCGGGCCCCGTGCAGCCGCTACAAGGGCTCCACGCTGCAGCCCTGCCTGGCCGCTGCCACGGACCCGTGCTGCTGCGGGGTCGAGGATCTGGTGAGCTGCTTGTGCTGCATGCTTGGGGCCGGGGGATCGCTAGGACAGAGGAGCCACATCCCCAGTGTGCAATAAGCTGGTGAAGCACCTTCCAGCATTTAGACAGCCAGATCGGCTGCTCTTCAGCTGAGATAACACAATTTTGGGAGCAAGGCTGAGGTGGCAGGGCAGGAGCAAGCCCCATGCAGGGTGATGTCCGTGGGGCACCACAGTGTGCACCGACCTGGGGCAGCACTGAGCGTCTCCCTGCCTACAGGAGAGCAGTGGATGTGCTCAGGCCAGGAGGGAAAACACTTGTGTTATCTTCATTCTCTCACCTGGGGACAGCAAGTCACTAGCAGACTGTTTTCCCCTGCCCAGTTCTGTGTCCCCGGCTCCCTTCCAAAGGCTGTCGTATTGTGAAGGCTGCCCCTGGGGTGGGGGCTCCATCCACTGCCCCTCTGCAGCTCTGTGAAGCTGCTGCTGTGGTGTAACTGGGCAGGCAGCTCATCACCTTGTAGCTGTCTGCTCTCCTCTGCAGTGGCTGGGGGAGGGACTCAAAAAACGGTCAAAGTGCGAGAACTCGTGGGTTGAGTTATGAACGGTTTAATAAGAAAGAGAAGGAAATAATAAAGCCAAGAATAAGCAAAGCACGCGATGCACAATGCAATTGCTCAGCACCCACTGAACCACGACCAGTGGCTGCCCCCCACCTCGGCCAACCCCACAGTTTTATATTGCCATGTGATGCCACGTGGCATGGGATATCCCTTTGGCCAGCTGGGCTCAGCTTTCCTAGTTCTGTCCTCTTCCAGCTCCCTGTGCACCGCCAGCCCCCTCACTGCCAGGCACTGTGAGAAGCACAGAAGTGCTTGGCTCTGCTTAAGCACTGCTCAGCAACAACTGAAGCATTGGTGTGTTATCAGCACTGTTCTCATCCTAAATCCCAAACACAGTACGAACAGTGACGCTGAAGAAAATTCACTC